GTGACAGCCTTTGAGAAGGCATCTCTGTATGCATGTAACACTATTGGACATGAAGGGAGGCACCATTGGACTTGGCGAAAGAGTACAAAAATGAAAGGTGTCGCCATCCCCATTGGCGAATAAGAGGTGGCATGGGTTGCAGAGTAGGCGCAGGCTAGGTGACCGCCTTGGAGAAGGCATCCTCGAATGCATGTAACACTATTGGAGGTGATGGGAGGAGCCTTAGAGGTTATAATGTAGGTACAGAGTAGGCGCAGGCTAGGTGACAGCCTTGGAGAAGGCATCTCTGCATGCATGTAACACTATTGGACGTGAAGGGAGGCGCCATTGGACTTGGCGAAAGAGTACAAAAATGAAAGGTGTCGCCATCCCCATTGGCGAATAAGAGGTGGCATGGGTTGCAGAGTAGGCGCATGCTAGGTGACAGCCTAGGTAACACTATTGGACGTGATGGGAGGAGCCTTAGAGGTTGCAGTCTTGGTTAATTCAAATTCTATATGACCTATTTAGTCTTACATTTATCAAAATACTGATTCACTTAATCTCTCAAACCTTCCAACCTTCAAACCCTCAAACAATCAAACCTTCAAACCTTCCAACCTTCAAACCTTCAAACAATTAAACATTCAAACCTTCAAACAATCAAACCTTCAAACCTTCAAATAACTCATAACTTCAAACCTTCCAACCTTCAAACCTTCAAACAATGATACGCAATGGCCTCTGCACCCCAATATGTCATTAGTGCATATTTCAACAGTGAGACATACATTTGTCCCACCTCTGGGTTTTTGTTTAGAGACACAGACAACATCCGATTTTGTTTAAACAGGAAAGCCAATTTCTGGTACTTCAAAAAACGATTGGAGGCCAAACTTGGACGAGGCCCGGTGACACAAATATTTTATCAGAATCCAGTTTTTTTTGGTAACAACCAAATAATATTTTATAAGGTTGAGGTTTAAGATGACGAGGATCTTCAGAATATGTTTTCCAGTCATGAGTATTCCGGGTACGACTCTATTGAGTTGTACATTATGCTGGGAGAGCCTCAGGTGACAGAAGTGGTCGATCCTTTGGAGACCGAATAAGCAGAGGTAGATGCAATTGATGATGAAGAAGAAGATGACGAGTTAGATTTTGAAGAAATGGTCAATGATGATTCCGACGATGATGGGATACCTGGTATTCCTGCAAACGAGATCTACACACCACCTCCGCACATGACAAACTTCAACATGGGCGGAGATGAACCGTCTTCTGATTTATTTTTCAATCCGTATATGCAGTCGGATGAAAACTTAAAAGAGAAAGACAAGTTTCGTAACAGAGAAGAATGTATCAGAGCCATCAAAAAATTCCACATGCTTAACTCGGTCGATTTTAAGGTGGACCGTGTAAACCCGGAAAGGTACAAGATCAAGTGTGTCCACCCTGATTGTATGTTCAAGCTCACTGCATCATACAGATTAAGAGGTGATTGTTGGGTCACAGGTTCCATGTCTACCCACACTTGTGTCAGTTCTACTCAATCACAGGATCATCGAAAACTTAATTACGATCTCATATGTCAAGAAATCCTACCACTCGTCAGCAATGATCCATCTTTGAAGGTGAAAACCATCATCTCGCACATCACTACGGTTTTTAACTATACTCCATCTTACCGTAAGGCGTGGTTAGCAAAGACCAAAGCGATTGAAAAGGTATACGGAAACTGGGAGGAGTCATACCAAGAACTTCCTCGCTACCTGAATGCACTCCAGACTTATTCTCTGGGTACTGTTTACATTCTAGAAGCAGTGCCAACATACGCCCCGGATGGTAGTCAACTAAACGGAAATGGAATATTCAGTCGAGTGTTTTGGGCATTTCAACCTTGCATCACAGGGTTTGCATCATGCAAACCAATTATATAAATTGATGGGACTTGGTTGTATGGGAAATACAAAGGCACGCTACTGATGGCAGTTGTACAAGATGGCAACAACAACATTTTCCCAATTGCCTTTGCCCTAGTCGAGGGGGAGACCGGTGGTGCTTGGAGCTTTTTTCTGAAAAATCTGCAAACACACGTGGCTCCTCAACCAGATATCTGTTTGATCTCAGATAGACATGCATCCATTGAAAGTGCATACAATAATCCTGCAAACGGTTGGCATGACTCTCATTCTACGCATGTCGATTGCGTTAGACATATCATCCAAAATTTCACGAGGGAGATCAAAGACAAAACACTAAGGAAAGCGGTTATGAATGCGGAATATGAATTGACATAACCCACATTCAAATATTACCGCAACGAGATCCGTTTGTCAAATCTGGAAGCAGGTAGGTGGATCGACAATATTCCTGTAGAAAAATGGACTAGGTCATACGACAATGGCCAAAGATGGGGGCACATGACAACAAATCTAAATGAATCGATGAATGGGGTATTCAAAGGCATAGGAAACCTCTCGGTCACTGCTTTGGTAAAATCTACGTATTTTAGGATGGCTTCGTTGTTTGCCAAAAGAGGTGAAATATGGAATGCAGTATTGCAATCCGGACAACTATGGAGTGAAAGCTGCATGAAGTACATTAAGGCAGAAAGTGCCAAAGCTAACACCCATATGGTTATACGGTTTGACCGAAACAACCACAACTTCATTGTGAAAGAGACAATCGACCACAACGAGGGCCTGCCAAGACAAGAATATAAGGTTGTACTACCTTCTTGTTGGTGCGATTGTGGCAAGTTTCAAGCCTTTCGTATGCCTTGCTCTCATGTCATTGCCGCGTGTGCTTATACTCATCAAGACGCGCTACAACTTCTGTCACACATTTACAAATCTGAAACGTTGCTCAACGTTTACAACAACAACTTCCCTTTGGTAGCAAAACCAGATTATTGGGCTGCATACGATGGCGAAATAGTATGGAACAATGACCAAATGCGAAGGAACAAAAAGGGTCGTCCCAAAAGTAAGCGCGTCACAACCGAAATGGACTCCCTTGACAAGCTGGAAAGAAAGTATGGTTTATGTCGTCAGGTCGGACACAATCGCAAAAATTGTCCGAATCGGGCTACTGCATCGACCACATAAAAATTGTATTACATAAAATCTTTTCTTTATTATGTTGTAAACATTAGGGTTTTTCGTTAACAGTATTTGTTACAATAAACATTGCGCGTACAAGAAAAAAACACGATATCCCGTCTACGAAATTACAACTGTTAAAACAATATCATCTGACCCATCTATCATCAACATTACGTCGCTGTCTGTTTTGACTTCCTCCAACCAAACATTAGGTCTTCCTGTCGCATGTGAGGTTGTTGTTCGTCTTTGCTGGATCCTTCGAATTTCCCCCCCTCCACGATGTCTCCATCTAGCCATCGCATCAACTCCTGCTTCAGACGCTCCATGGAGTGAATGTGCCAGAATTTCATTTTCATTGCAGGTTTTGTGGCGGAGAAGATAACGTAACCATCTCTGGTAAAAATCATGGGCGATGTCATGACGCAAATGACAGAGTAAAAAAATAAGAAAACAATGCGAGAAAGTGTGAGAAATGACGGAGAAACAGACGAATTATTTATAAAAACAACATTTTGTCCTAGGAGCCAAGTGAGATGGCGCCTCCTCTCACTTTTAAAGTGCATGCACCATCTCACTTGGCTAAAAGAGAGAGGAGGTGCCAAGTGAGATGACGCCTAGGGCAAAAAGCTTGGTGGAGGCGCCAAGTGAGATGACTCCTCCTTTGGAGAGCCATCTGAAACATGGTTATTTGCGTAATTTTTTCCGAAACGTGGTTATTTGCGAATTTTTTTTAATACCTAATTATTCCAAAAAAATTTTCTTGATTTCATATATCGAGATGCGTTGGAACGGTTTTGATTTTCAACGAAAATCTATCTATATATTAATCTTGAGATGATGAAACTCTGGATTAGATATTTAAAAATCTGTCCTATTAAACTGATTGTCTGACAGTTTAAAAAAGGAGATTAATATAATTCATATATCTCTTGCAAAGGAGCATTCTCGCATCACAAAATTTCTTTAACATGCAAAAAAACTACGACGAAAATTATTATGTTTCACTTGTGGTGTCAATGATTAATCACAGGTTTTACATGCTAACGAGTCAAATGAATATAGCGATGCTCATACAAAAAAAAGGACATTTGTGACTTTATTTTTGTGATATAAAATCTTAACTCTATTTTATGTTAGATTGAATTTGTTCAATATTTTTTTAAGTTGTGGCTCATTTCATTTTGCCCTTTACAGTTTTTAGGCTTCAAATATTAAAATCTCAATGTTTAAGTTGATGGTTTATTCTCACATGTGGTAAGACAGAACAAATATAGCTAGAAATGACAAAATTAGATAAATAAAAAAGATGATCGATAAAATATGTGATAAAAAAATAGATTAGATGGAGATGAATCAAACAATTAAAATTAAAAAAAAAATTTAAATAAATTATTAAGAAATATCTCAAGATTAAGAATTTAAACAAAAACATAATTTTCAATAAGATATTATGATAGAAGTTGATCTATATATTTGATTCTCCTTATCAAATTCTTTAAATGCCTTGAATCTTATCAGAGATGACACATAAACTTAGCAAGAAACAACCATTGAAAAGAATGAACTATTATTACATGAAATATGTCCCAAACAATCATGTCACATAAAAATCCTCTAAATTCTACTAACCTTTACCTGTTCATAAAAAAAAAATTCTAAATAGGCCAATCCTTCAGAAGCCATATCATCCAAATTGCTAAAAGAATACTAATGCTACCAATTCAAACTATCCCTAAGCCATAATCATTGATAAAACAAAAGGTTCTATTATTTTCACTATACAATGTAACTCCAAAAACCAGCAGCATTGTAACCTAGCAAAGAAAATCCTAACCCTGTCCCTTATATCTACACACCTAGCTCAAAAATCCTACTGTCTCTTATGTTGATCTCAGACAAACAAAATCACAATGTTTATATTGAATTCGATCTCCGCAGTCTCCGATTTTGTCTCTGCTCCGTTATTGGAAGGACCAACTCTTTCAACTGCAGAAAAACAAATTAAACAATAATAACAGGTTAGATTCACAGCTAAAAGGCAGTTCACATGAACACTGGCATAAAATTTAGGTGATGAAGTGATGCAATGCAAACACCACTGGTCATACAATTTTGACACAAGATTCAAATAGACCTGATTAAATGTTCAAGGATATGCAAATTAACTAGTAAAAAAAGTGAGTAGAAAAATACATACTTGCTTTAGCCTTTCCTTTTTCCTTTCTTCCTGCACACACAGTATCACAAAAAGTTATAAGATTTCAGACACAAGATTTTAGCCACACAAACAGTGTAATCTATGAATGACAGACGCCCTGAAAACGACTAGCACTGACACGATGATAGCGATAATAATTTGATCAAATCAATAAATTAAACAATCACAAGTGTCCGTGCCGATCAGATGTACAAATAGGACAATAAATGAAGAAGAAAAAAACGCAATATAATATAACAGTACCTCTTCTTCTATTAAGAGCTTATTCTCTGTCTCCAAATTCTTGACAAGTCTCTCAAGCTCATTAATATAAGCCTGTAAATTACATCACCCATAGATTAATTAAAACCCTAAAAATGAAGAAAAATCTTAACTTGAATTAAGTTTGTTGATAATAACAACAAAAAACGAAGACCCAAATTCCAAGATTCAAAGAAAAGAAAGAAACCTGTTTGCGTTCTCTGGACCTGGCTGCAGACTCACGATTCTTGATCATTCTTTTCTGTCTCTGAAGAGCAGCTTTATCAAGCTCAACTGCTTCCGCAACAGCCTTTCGTTTTCCCACAGCAGCAACATCAAGAGAATGTGAAGGTTCAGAAGAGGAAGAATATTGAGGAAGATGAGAGACAGGAAGAGCACCGGCTTTCACCAAGAAATCTTCTAGAGTATTGTCACCGCCGGTACAGGCAGAGAAACCTTCATCAAAAGAAGGATGTTGTTGATATTGATATTCATCTTGATGTTGATATGGATATTGATATTGATGAGGATGATAAGGGGTTGCGCCGACACCAGCGTCGGCGACGATATCCGTCCATACATCATCAATTGTGTTGTTGAAGAGGAAATGTTGTTGTTGTTCTTCTTCTTGTTGTTCTTGTTTTAGTTTTTGTTGTATTTTGAAGACTTCTATTGCGGCGGGGTAAATGTTCTTGAGAATTTCGTCCATGGTGGTAGGTTTCTTGGGAGGTTGATTTGAATAGGAGAGATGAAAACAAGAGGAGGATGATGATGTTATAGAAGAGGCGCGTGGCAGATCCGGATTTGTTGAGACAACAACAACCTTGGACGACGCCATGCCGAGATTATAGGAAGTTTGTTACAGAGTTTGTTTGGGTTTTCGGTTAGGCTTTGTTTGGCTTCAACATGAAGGATTCAGGAGAAGTTTACTATTTGGGAAGATAATTTATGCATCTGAATTCAGAAGAATTGTACATAACGATGGAACAATGGGTTTGGTTTGAGTTTGAGTTTACTGAATAACATGGTTATGGACATTGCTTTATATAGCTATCTCTTCTTCTGTTCCATTGCATTACATTCCACCTCATCTCATATTTTTTTATTCTTTCATTTGTTTACTTTTCGTTTGAAATTTTCACTTTAAATTATTGCTCAATATTATATTTATGGTATATTTAAGTATTTATTGACTACTAAGTAGTAAATTATAATTAAGTTCAATTTTATTTATTAATTTTATTTTTGTTTTGATGAATTAAGTCTTCTAATATGTGGGTCAGACATGTTTTAAAGTATAATAAGTGTTAATAAAAAGAGATCTTTTCAATGCATTCTATGTATTTTTATTAGAGATACTTTCTTATGTTCCATTCCATCTTGACATCATTGCAAATTATGAGTAATGCTTATTTATATCTCTATCTCTACATATTAAAACTATTCTATTAATTTTCTAGTATCCAATTTCAAGCATTACAAGGTCATATATTGAACCACAATAAAATATATAATATAGGGTTTGATTTAGATATAATTTTGAATGGTTTCATAGATGTGATTATAAATTTTGACTTTAGTGTTTTTATTAGAAATGACGTTGTTTCTTCAAAAGTATAATATATTTTAGTAAATGTTATTTTTAGTAAAAGTGTTTACGCAAAGTTTGACTTGACCACAAGATCAAAAATCAATTTTTGATTATTTGTAAATCATATATGTTTAAGATTTTCTCTTTATTATCTTTATTGATGATTTAGGCTAACATATGTCTTCGGTAGAGTAACATACCATACTTAAATACTAAATTATGATTCATTTATTTCTTACTAATGAAATTTGTCGTGTTCATTGCAAGGCGTGCTTGAATATATTTGGCGAACATGCTATTCATGCTATTCTTTGCAAGAAGTTTTCATGATTCAAATACAGATATAACTGTGTTAAGGATATCCTATTTGATATATTTAGACGTGCAGAGATATCTGTGAAGAAAAATACGTCGATAAATTTTTTGACTGATCCATAAGAAGGGAGATCGACTCTCAGATCAACAAGTGTTTTGATGTATTTTCAAAGCTGCTTTAAGTGGCCAAACATGAAAAAATGTGTTTCGAAATTAAAATTTCATACATATACCTTTGACACATTTGATTTTCTAACCTAAAAACAATAAATCTTTTATAAAAAATAAAAAGATTTATCATAACAATATTATATCACCTAAAATAATAAATATAATTTTAAAAAAAATTGATTTTGATATAAAAAAAAATAGTTGTGCAGCTGGTTGGCAGATTGTCTGCCATTTGTATAATGTTGATGAATGTAAATAAAAAAATTATTACATTAAACTTATATTTAGACTATGAAATTATCTTTAAAAATTGAAAAATTAATAAAGAATATTTTCCAAACACTAATTTAAAAAAAATAAATTCGATGTTTTTTTTATATTTATATCTATAAAATTATGATGGTTTTTATTTAAAAATAACTCGGAAGAATATTTCACCACTTCTTAAAGTTTTTGTAAGAAATCTTAAATGTTTTTTTATTTTTATTTTTAAATCTTCTTAAATAGTACAGTAAGATAATACGTTTGTCAATAATGCATACTATTTTTTTAGGTTTATTATTAGGCAGCAATTTTTTCAGGTTTATTACAATAACTAAAGATTACAAAAGAACAATTGTGTTAAATTTTTAAATGAAAAATATAAACTAATGAAAAATAATTGGTTTAATTTAATTTTTGTAATTATTTTTATGAAATCTTAATTAAAATAAATTGACAATCAACAAATTACTTTGATTTGCATCGATCTTATAATTTTATATATAAAATGAATAACTTTTAAGTTTTAACATTACAAAAATTACTTCTTTTATTTAGTTTGTATTCGAACATAAAAAAAATTTAGTTTTAAATTTTTAATCTCACACTTAACAATAATAGAAGAAAGGACAGAAAAATAATCCTAAATTTAAACACATAAAAATATTAATCAAGCAAGAAGACAGAATTGTTTTTTTTTTTTTTTTTAAATTGAAAGAATAATTCATTTTATAAAGGGAGATTCAACATCACACCAATATAAGCAGCAAGCTCTCTTGTCGAATTCCAATATGAGAGGATATAATTTGGAGTTATTGTATTTATGGAATAAAAAGTAATGAAATTGTATATTTATTTGTTCTAAAAAATGTTGTAATCATTATGTTTTTTATAATAAAACAAAAATTGCAATTATTGTGAGCCCCGCTCCATGACGTTTTAATTGCCGACATATATTTTTGACTGATTTTAATTGCCGACCTCTTAGGGTAGACTTAGACAAACTATTTCATATTTTTAATTTTTGATGATGTCATATTTATTCTAAATTTTCCTAATAAATCAATTTAAATTGCATCCAATGAATATAAGATGGCTTGGTCTTAGGAGTCCCGTTATGGAAGGCACATTGACTAAAAAAATATTGTATACTGTTCAAGATTTATTTTGGCATGTGAGAATTCACACCACTAATATATTTGTGATAAAATTAATTTGTATTAAAAAATTGTAAATCCTAATTTAGCACGCAAATGTCTACAAGATTTGAATATAAGACTTCACTTGTTTTATATAAATTTCAGTTGATTGCTATCACTTTCTTGTAGATTTATAAAACTAATAAAAAATATGAAGGGTATATATTTGATCTCGTCGGTTAATCAGAATCTGAAGTGAATCGAGAAGATGATCTCTGTTTGGCTGAAACTTGAAGAAATGAGAGAGTATAATTGCAAGACACTCTGACGCTCAAGTAAGAAAGAGTGCAGTGAGATACAAGAAAGAAATTAGGGTTTTAGAGTGATTATTGGATACCTGACTCTTACAAGTATGAGGGTTTATATAGTGTCACGACGCTTGCCTATTGGTTCCTACTTTTGGACCTAAATATTAGGTTCCTCAAAACTAGATAACTGTCGAGACTCAGTCAAAACGTGCAATCATGCTCGTAACTAGTCGTTGCTCCGAGCAAGGTAGAGATTACAGACATATGTGTTATGGACGTTTCTTGGTTGTCTGCTCCCACTATGTCAAAGAAGGGATTAGACATCACGTTTTTTGGGCTTAGACAACGCTTAAAAGCATTGCCTATTCCAGCGCTGCTATAAGTAAAGCCAACGCTTTGGTTAAATGAGAAAGCGCTGTCTAAAGCACCCCTTTAGACAACGCTTTACTTTAGACCGCACTTTTAGTTATCTTTTAGGCATCACTTTAGACAGCGATTTATCTGTAAAAGCGTTGTCTAAAGTCCTCCTTTAGGCAACGCTTTCACTTTAGAAAACGTTTTTGGTTATCTTTTAGGAAGCTTTAGACAGCGCATTAAAAGCGTTGCCTAAAGCCCCCCTTTAGGCAGCGCTTTCATTTTAGACAACGTTTTCCCTTCAAAGCGCTGTCTATTCCCTACTTTAAGCAGCACTTTTTATTTGAAGCGCTGTCTAATGTCCACAAAATTTTTTATATATAAAACTTTAAAAAGTGCTGCCTGATTTATACAATAAATATTTTGACCAGATTTTCACCATAATTTGCACCAGGTTTTCACCATATTTTGCACCAGGTTTTCACCAAATTTTGCACCAGATTTGGTAGCTTCAATCCAATATATATGCATCAAATTTGCATATACAAAAAATACACATACACACATATATATATATATATATATATATATATATATATATATATATATATATATATATATATATATATATATATATATATATATATATATATATATATATATATATATATATATATATATATATATATATATATATATATATATATATATATATATATATATATATATATATATATATATATATATATATATATATATATATATATATATATATATATATATATATATATATATATATATATTATAAATGATGATATATACAACAACAACTTGAAAATTGATGATACAACTTGAAAATTCTAAATATTCTAAATTGATGTTTAATCTACATATTACTATCTTCGAGAATTTCTAAAAAAAACAACAACAAAAAACTTGTTAGCTTTATCTTCTACAATTGTACTTATAACCTGAAACAAAACCAAAAGATCAAAATTCATACCATGATAAAACAAAACTTTATTCTAATTTATACTTAAAACTCAAAAGTTGTACTCAAAATTCTCATCAATGAAATAAAGACAATATACCTTATAAAATTCTCAACTCTATAATAAATTGACACCATTCCTCCATAAGTTCATCCAATTGATCTTTTGAGTAATGAGCACAATTGAATTAATTCATACCGTGGATGGAATCTCTATTCGGTCCAAAAGAAGCATTTCTTTCATAAACCTCAACATAAAATAACCGCAATCTATACCATTACATTGACGAGGACACTACACATGGAAAGAAAATACACACACACACATATATATATATATATATATATATATATATATATATATATATATATATATATATATATATATATATATATATATATATATATATATATATATATATATATATATATATATATATATATATATATATATAAGGATATACCCCTTAACTTGTTTTATCAAGTATCATCACTAATATAATCAAAATTGTGAAAATATACCTGCACTCTGGTCCACGTAATGTTGTTGGCTCTACTCTTTGGTACTTGAATACCTCTTTGTGATAGAAAAGCTTGTAGAACGCTATAATAAAATATAAACGACTATTTAGAACAATCTCACATAGATAAATAAATATACACACGAATATTTAGAACAATCTCACTTACGTATCAATCGTCTTCTTC